TTATAACATTATAACATTTTAATAGCATGTTATATTTCTGTTATATAGTTGGAGTATAAATTATCTATTTCTTAGCAACTATAGATATTTAATTGCATGTAGTAATTACAAGCTGATACTAAAATATCAGTTAATTTGTAAAAGTATATTTTCAGAAATGTTATAATTATTTTATATAAAAAGTGATATTTAAGTTATGATAAGTAGTATTTAAAATTACTAAAAATAATAATAATATAAAAGTATTTTTTCTTTCTCTAAATTTATTAGCTCCATGATAACACAAGATATCTCAGAATTATCCTAAAATCATTCTAAACACTTAAAGAGTCCCAAGATATCCTGAACATCTGGAATGTCCTCAGGATCTTGTGCTATTACCATAATACCATTTGTTAATTTTCATTCTTCAATAATAAATATTTAAATAATAAATAAATAAATTTAATAATATATATTTTAATGGAAGGGATTATTATAATATTGTGACAGTAATTACCATTAATCAAAAAGTGTGCTACTTCATTGTAAGAGTGTATTATGGACTCCATGGTTCAAGTTTTGCAACCTTGTGATTATCCTTATATATGTTAATGCATCATATTTTACGTACGAGGAATGTACAAGAGAACGAAAGTTATTTAACGAATGATACGTCATCTGGGTAAAAAATACCCAGGATTAGATATATTTAACATATATCTAACGCAAGCAGTATAACTTATTATATAACATGTTATTCTTAAGTAATAACATGTTATTCTTAAGTATTATACGATTATAATTAGTAAATAACAGCAATATAATAATTTTAAAATGCAGTTATATTGCTGTCATATATATATATTAGAATTATATATAGTTTTAACATTACTAATATATAACAGCCGTTGCATTACGTATTACTACTATGTTACATAATAATTATCTTCTATTTTATTACATAATAGTGTTTGCTGAGTTAATTTCTGAAGTTTTTTTACTTTTATATTAAAAATTACGCTTAGTTTTTGCGTTTTTAGAAAAATGAAAACTTATTTAAAAAAAAATGAAAACTTATTTTTAGAATTCAAAGTCAGAAATAGCTGATTTGATCAGAAACAGGTTATCTGAAAAATTCACACGATGAAACTCCACCTTATCCAACTTTTCACATTATTTTGCTATTGATTGCATCATTCACAAAATTACGCATTTATGTGTATACGACATCCTCCGCTTTTCTGATGTGCCTTAAAAACTCATTCGAATGCACGCACTGCTTATACACACCGGCGCACACTACCAGAGTTGTAGAATCAGTAAGTCAGTGAACCATCCTCGGTGATGACGACAGTGGCGGCGGTGATGGCGGTTACTTTAGCGGCAACGGCAGCGGCAGTGACAGTGGTGTAGTGGCGACGGAATGTAGTTGATCGGTGGTTACTTAACGTGTTGCGGTAAAAAGAGTCAATAGTAGTTGATGACGTCGACTCGACGATTGTGACGTATCGTTGTATCAAGAATTCGGACTATTCGATTCTCCTTCTTTCTTCCTTCCCTCTCTCTTGTCATCGATCCATGGATCTCTGCCGAACGATCGATAGCGTCTTTCTCGCGCTAACAATCTGCGACCTGCTGCACATTCCGTCACTTGCGACGATCGTAATTTTGCTGTGACGCTGGTATCATTCATCCGTCGACTGTGAGAACGATCATGCTAATAAGCAAGATTTAATGTCAGTGTAATACATAGCACGTGAATTTTATTGTTTCTCATCAAGAAGGTGCCGAAGAATCGAAAATGGATGGCCTCGTTGAGATTTTTCTTTTTTGCGGAGTACTCTGTTATTTCTTCAATCTCAGGTAATTTGTGGATTGTGTGCGATTCATATGATGATGATTCGTATCAATAATTTGAATAAACGGAATAAGAAATTATTTCGATTGTGTTGATCATAATTCGTCTTTTTTGTTTGAAGTTTCACATTAAATATGGTTATTTGATTTGTTATTTAATTACTATTAATCGACTAACTGATTAACAATACTCGTTATATTCTTTAAAATTTCAAATAATAGTTTGAAATTATTATTAATTATTGTATAATTTGTAAATAATACGAAATTTATTTTCTTTACGCTTCGTGGATATTTTCCATTTATACTTAAGTAAAAATAAAAAAAGATAAAGCTACTTTTATGGCAATAAAATGTAGCAACGTTGTAGTTATAACACGATTCATCAAAACTTTTCAATTTTAAATTTATATACGAGAAAAATTATTTAAGTGTTATAAGGTAATTTCGCGTTTTAATATTAGTTATTTTGTATAATTTTGCATCTATTTTATTGAGACACACATATTATTGTCGACAACACTATTAAAAAAATAATAGGTAAAGGCTTTACATATAATTAATTAATATTATTATTGTGTTACAAATTATAAAATAAAATCGTATAGATTATAGGAAAGATACATTACTTTACCTAATATTTACTAATATATAAAATTATATAATTAATTATTAGTAATTGTAATTAATATAATTATATAACGTACGTTATATATATATATATATATATATATATATATATATATATATTTATATTTATATTTATATATATGTAAATTTATTTATAATTAAATTTAAAATGCACACTTCTGAAATCCTTTGATCTTTTTTTTGTGTAAATTTTTCGAAACTTTTCGACGATATTATTGATTTTACATTTCCGTGCTTTGTTCGAAGCTTTTCTTTTATTAAACTTATCTATCCGATTTATTATCTATTTCTTATTTTGGTAACAATTAACAATCTGTTATCCGTTATTTACCACGTTATCAGTAATAACATAACAAACATTCTGTGATCGGTAACGAGCAAAAGTCAATGTTCATTTGGCCTGAAGAAAGCACTCTTAATATTAGACTGTTGCGTCTTTTCTCTAACATATATTACAAGCAATATTAATAAAGCATCTAAAATATATGTTTGTCATAAATTACTTTTTGATCATCTTTTGCCATTTTTATTTTCAATTACTTTTAGTAATGTTATGTTACAATATTTTCGTCTTGATTTTGTAATATATATTATGGATAATATTAATAATGTAGAAAAATCATTTTGACAGTTGCAAAAATATATTTTTTAATTTATACAACGCATTGCGAATAATAATTTATATTATTAACATTTAATAGAAACAAATAAGAGAATAGAACGAAAAATCATTTTGTAGTTTTACTTTTAATAATGTTTAAGTCGTCAAACACCAGACTGTACGATCCATTTAAAAATGATTTTTTAAAATAAATATTTGTTATACAAAAAATCTGTTTGATTGTTTTTAAACGTGACGGATAAAAATCCAATGGATTCGATGGAGAAACTCGATTTTGTATGTGCACTCTCGACCATATCGTCGTTGGCCATGCATTAAAAGGTATTTCAATTATCTGTTCGCAGACGATAAAGAAGCTTCGTGCCATGTCAGCAATAATTTATTGGTATATTAGCCATTAAAAACAGTGTACAAAACAGTAACGGCATTCGGTATTGCAGTAACGATTTTTACTGATAACCAAAATTACTGGAAAATGATGTAATTACCGCTTTCAATAATTAAACAAACGCGTTGTCAGTGTGATATGTTTTAAGAAGTATCTTAAATGATCAAAATCTACAGTTTTATATCGACTCATTACTATCATTCTTGCACTTCAGTTGATCGTTTGCAATCAACCTTTCAATTATATAAATTGCTGATAAATATTGCTACTGTTTATAATAACACCGCATTGTATCGCACAAGATTTATCACAGATAAAGACTCAATAGCTTCGCGAACATGTCTCCAATCTGCTTATTAATGATTATCAATAATATCTTTGATTGTGTTTAAAATAAATGTTCGTATTGAAAAGAGCATTGTATGCGATTTTGTCGATCGACGCGACTCGACCTTCCTCATCGTTATTACTCGAGCTTTATTTCATCATCGTCGGCGATCATAATTTCTATGTTGGTACAAGGGCGACAGTAATTTTCGTTTCCCATGACGACACGACGCGCGTTGTACGTGATTATTATGTGTATTGAGCACTAGAACACTCTAATTTAATAACGATATCGTTTACAATAACAAATAATGAAAGATCTCTGATTTAATGATTCTTTAATGATTAATCTCGATTCATGGAATATGAAAAAATTTTTGGTTATTTCCGTTTATCTGAAGAAGATCTTATCTACGCTAGCTTAAAATCATCTTAAAATGCTATAAGGATAGTTCCATATAAGATGAATTTAAGCTAATCTTAAATATACAATCCAATTATGAATACCGCTCAAGAATATTCATTGTTTGCGACAGTCGACAATAATTTGACAGGCTAGAAACTAGTAAATAAATGCATATCTTAGTTACGTCAACAATTTAGATATTGATAACCTGACCTGACATGACATAGATAAATCTGTAGATCTACGCAAGTTTTAACATGAAATGAAATAACACAACACTCTCACGAACATAACTGATAAAACACGCGATCAATCGGAAAAGTATTTTTGATAAGTAAATACAATTTTATATTCATTGAATACCGATTATGTTGCAAGACATCAGATGTACAATTTAAGTAAATTGCTATCTGAAGGCACGATGTTAGCGAAATATTATATTCGTTAATATATTGTAATGTTATACTCATTATAATGTTTTACATTTAAATGATTTTCGCATCTAAAGAAGCTATCGATATCGACAAATTTTCAAACGATATTTTTGTACTTAAGCAACTTATTGCTTTTATCTTTTTATATAATTTTTGTTTTTCTAACTAGAAAATATTATAATTCTTTATAAAAACTTAAATCTTTATAAAACTTTAATCACATAAAAGTGCGAGAAAATATCTGTTGTTTAGGTAAAAAATCAATTAACGCATTCCCTTATACACGTGTAATGAACCGATTTCCAAAAAAATATTAATATCATATTTATATGACAGCGATAATTTTTCATCCTACATTCATATAATATAAATTAAATATTCAAATAATATGAATTAAATCTATTTTACACTATTACATAAAAAATAGGTTGGTCTGTGATGGACGATTCCCCCGATAAACAGTGGTAGCGAATGTATTAATTTGAATGACATTTATTTCATTTCATTATTATTATAATTGTCTTTGCTAATTATGGGGAAGAGTGTAGTTATAAAAAAATAAATGGCAAGATAAGCTCTATAGTTATAGCAGCTACAATCGTGTACAGTTAACTACGCAATTACAGAAATAATTAATTCCCTAAAAGAAATTGACAAGATTTCCAGAATGACCATGAAAAAGATGAGTCTTTTGTTACTCGCTTTATACTTTTTTCATCTTATCTTTCAATACGTTGTTCGAAAACCATTAATTAATATTTTATTGCAATCCCACAATTTACATATATCTTGAATGTACAATCATGACATGAATCTTTTACTAACTGTTCTTTTCCACTCTCTTATATTAAAAAACGAAAAGTAAAAAAAGAGCAAGAACAGTGAACTCTCTTAAGCCTGTTGAGTTTGTTACAGCAATAAGGTCTCCCTCATGCGTTATTCATGCGATAGGGTTATCAATATGGACTTTGGCAAGTATTGTTGAACAAGTCCAAACACTTATTTCTTTTGTTAGTACATGCCATAAATACAACCGAGTAATGTTTCCTCGATCTATTATCGGTCATATATATGATCATTAATAATTGTTACTGCGATGTACGTACACACATATGCGCGCGCGCATTCACACACAACTGCCGTGGTTACGATAATTAATTCGATGCTCCAAAATTGGAAAGTATCGTCTTCGTTTCAATATTGTGTTATGATATTGATTTTGACAACATACTTAAATGCAAACATCCTGTATTTGAGTGATGTCTCAAATATTTTATATAATTCTAAATCATTAATATTTTATATAATTCTTTTATTCTTCGAAATCATTTCTCTCTCTTCCGAATATTAGTGACACACTAATAATATACAAAGCGCATGTGCGAGATTGTAGATTTGTTATAAATCTTTCTGAAATAAATTATAATTAATTTATATAACAGAAGTATATTCAACTTGAATTTCTTATGTTATATTTTGGAATTAAAATAATAATTTCTAATATAATTACATTTTTAATTTCTGTATTTATCTAAAAAATTTTTGGAAAATCCGAGAAAAAGATTTATTGGAATTGTCCAAACAAATTATTATTTGAATTAATAAATATGATTTTTTAAATTTCTAAATAATTTCATTATTTATAACAAGAAAACTATTTTATTAAATTTTTCAAATTGAAAGGCTTTATAATTTTGTTGGCACGATTACGATAACCGGGGCCTCTCAAAATAACAGTGGTTTTTGGGAGTATTTTTAACGAGAAACACGGGAAAAATAGTAAAAAAAAATTCCATGATCAATATTAATATGGAAAAAATAGTAAGAAAGCATGGTAACGATAACCGAGATGACCCAAAATGAAAATAGTTTTTTAAGGTACTTTTAGCGAGAAATACGGGAAAAATAAGGAAAAAATCTTCAAAAATAAATAACATTAATAAACAAAAAAAATTTTAATCTTTAAACAAAAATAAAAAGCATAAAAATGCTTTTATCTAATGTAAAATACCATAAATATTATAACATATATATTTAATAACTTTAACACATTATAAATGAAAACTTTAGTCATCATCAGAATCGTCATCACTGCCAAAATCAAATTCTTTTTCAAGCGTCATCTCACGAGGACGTTTCAGTAGTAGTAATATATTAGCATTGTCTTCTGCAGAAACA